CACCCGCCTCGGCCTCCCAAAGTGCTGGGATTACAGGCTTGAGCCACCGCGCCCGGCGACTTTTTTTTTTTTTTTTTTAAGGCAGGGTCTCACTCTGTTGCCCAGGCTGCTGGAGTGCAGTGGCATAATCATGGCTCACTGCATTCTCAATCTCCTGGGCTCAAGCAATTCACCCACCTCAGCTTACCAATAACTGGGACTTCAGGCACGCACCACCATGCCCAGCTAATTTTTGTATTTTTCGTAGAGATGGGAGTTTTGCCATATTCCCCAGGCTAGTGAACTCCCGAGCTCAAGCAGTCTGTGCACCTAGGCCTCCGGAAATTCTGGGATTACAGGCAAGCACCACTGCGTTTAGCCCTAATATATTACTTTTAAAAATTTATTTAAAATGCTTAGGGCTGGATGTGGTAGCTCACGCCTGTAGTCCCAGCACTTTGGGAGGCTGAAGTGGTTGGATCACCTGAGGTCAGAAGTTTGAGACCAGCCTGGCCAACATGGTGAGACCCCGTCTCTACTAAAAATACAAAAATTAGCCAGGTGTGGTGTCTCATGCCTGTAATCCCAGCTGCTTAGGAGGCTGAGGTAGAAGAATTGCTTTAACCTGGAGGTGGAGGTTGCGGTGAATCAAGATTGTGCCATTGCACTCCAGCCCAGGCAACAAGAGTGAAACTCTTGTTTCAAAAAATAAAATAAAATGCTTATTTACAAAGATAGCACTTCAACTTTGAAGGCATATCCTCCAGTAAATAACTACTAAATATCTGTTCTGTTTCTTTGCCTCTTTTTTTTTTTGAGACAGAGTCTTGCTCTGTTGCTGAGGCTAGAGTGTAATGGTACCATCATAGCTCCTTGCAACTTTGAAATCCCGGGCTTAAGGTGACCTCCTGCCTTAGCCTCCTAAGTAGCTGGAGTTACAGACATACTACAACGCCCACCTTTGCCTCCGTCTTTTTTTTTTTTTTTTTTTTTTTTTTTTTTTTTTTTTAATTTTAACTGATTTAATCAGGTGATACCTCTAAGTGTTGAAAACTAACCTCTTTTTCTTCTGAGGAATGAGGAATTATGTCAAGTACTTTATATTATATTCAGGTATATAGGGTAGGTACAAAAGTAGTCCTAGAAAAATTGAATGTGCTGTCATAGGTGAGCAGTTTGCAAAGACAGGAGATAGTGCAGCATTGGAATTTGATCTCAGTAGACATCCCAGCATGTCTGTTAACTAGCTCTGTGGCCTTGGGCCAGTTACACAACCTCTCTGAGCCTCCGTTTCCTCAGCTTATAGGATAATGAAGGTAAAGCATCTGCTACCAGGTTTGCAATAAATTTCACCTGTTGTTTTTACATGTGTAAGGTTATACTGTTACTTATCACACCACTGTTGATAACTTGTTAGAAACGGTTAGCAATCTATGATAAAGAATATACAGAGTATCTTTAATAACTTTGTAGTTTTAAAGATCATGCAGGGCGTGGTGGCTCACGCCTGTAATCCCAGCACTTTGGGAGGCCAAGCGGATCACAAGGTCAAGAGGTCGAGACCATCCTGGCCAACATGGTGAAACCCCATCTCTTAAAAAAAAAAAAAAAAAAATCATATGCTACTCCGTATAGTATATTTTTCTGTAAAAATATTTGAATGAATTATATGGGAAGTCTAGGAAAATTATTTTATAATTTTCAGCTTTCTTGATTGTGGGTTTGTTAACTTTAATAATAGTGTTATTAACTATTGACCTGCTTTTTATAGTTGGAAAAATTAAGATTACGTTACAGTAAAATAGAAACCTTTTGCAGCTCCATTTTTCTCAGCTCTGAATCTCAACACTGAGCAGCATGGTGTTCCTGTCTCCAGTAAGATTATCCGTATCTCTGTTGTTTTCAGTCTGAAACCTTGAATATTTGTTCAAGCCAGAAAAACTTAATCATTTTAAATATTCTGCCGTGAACAACTTAGTACTTTTAATGTAATATATGTGATATAGAGACATGAAAATGTTTTCATAGATAGGTATCTTGGAGGAATTAAAATACATATATATATGGCCTTCATCAAGAAATTAAAGTCAGGTGATTTTTTTTTTTTTTTTTTTTTAAGATGGAGTTTCTCTGTCATCCAGCCTGGAGTGCAGTGGCATGATCTGGGCTCACTGCAACCTCTGCCACCCAGGTTCAAGCAGTTCTTCTGCCTCAGCCTCCCAAGTAGTTAGGATTACAGGCATAAGCTACCACACTCGGCTAATTTTTGTATTTTTAGTAGAGGTGGGGTTTCACCATGTTGGCCAGCCTGGTCTCCAACTCCTGACCTCAGGTGATCCTCCCACCTCAGCCTCCCAGAGTGGTAGAATTACAGGCGTGAGCCACTGTGGCCAGCCATAAATTCAGGTATAAATTTATATGGGTGTACATTGTTTTTGGAAGTAAAATATTTCCGAAATGTAGTGTAGTTTCTTAAAGTGAGAGAAATTGTGGACAGACTTCTTATAGAATGGTGTTGTTTTATTTAGAACTATTTCAATTCATGTTTCCTCTCCCTCACTTTTTTAGAAACGATTGGAGCAGCAGAAGCCAACAGTGATTGCAACTTCCACTACTTCCCCAACAAACAGTACAACCAGTACCATCTCTCCTGCACAGAAAGTTATGGTGGCCCCCATAAGTGGCTCTGTTACAACTGGAACCAAAATGGTACTAACTACTAAAGTTGGATCTCCAGCTACAGTAACATTCCAACAAAACAAGAACTTTCATCAAACCTTTGCTACATGGGTTAAGCAAGGCCAGTCCAATTCAGGTATACAATTATGATCAAGTAAAAGTTTACTTCCATCAGGAAAAAGAATTTTGAACCCTTTAGCTACTGAAATGAAACATATTTTTTTAGAAGATTGTTTTTCTTTTGCAGCTGATTGAGCAAACAAGCTTAACGGTTTGTTGCAGATAATGTTCATAATATTACATTAGCAAACTCATCTCTTACATTATTTCACTTTCAACATTTACATAGTTCACTTTGAGTGGAGCAGAATGTTTTTATTAAAGATACAAAATGAGCCACATTTCATGCATTGGTGCCCTTTCCTAGAAGTCACTACGTTGCTGGTTATTTTAAATCTAAAGCTTATTAAATGTCTTATACCCCATTAGCCACCAGCACAGCTGCCACATCTGCTACAACCATTGCCAGCACAGGTCAGACGTTCCAAATTACAGGCAGTCCAGTCACTATGGCAGGAAAAGTAATTACCAAACTGCCACTTCCTGCAAACAGCAAGATTGTCGCTGTAAATGTGCCAGCAACACAAGGAGGTAAGGGAAATGTGAAGAGTTTTAATTCACATTTGCCAGATCATACTGTTGCCATTATTTTTCATCTCCTTTTCACTGATTTCAGTCCTCGGATCTCACATTTTATGTAGCCCACTATAAAACCCTGCCACACGTAGTTTCTCCTCAGCAACCGACCAACATGTAATGCTTTCCATTAAAGTGACAGTCTTTAATTATGGCTTCATCTTTTTTTAAGGCGTTGTTCAAGTACAGCAGAAAGTCCTGGGTATCATTCCATCAAGTACAGGTACCAGTCAGCAAACCTTTACTTCATTCCAGCCCAGAACTGCAACCGTCACAATTAGGCCCAATACCTCAGGCTCTGGAGGAACCACAAGCAATTCACAAGTGAGAATTCTTACAGACTTATTTTGATTTGATGTATTGAGCACATTACATTGTTTTTAGGATGGCTTCATTCAAGATTAATCCAACTCAGTTTCCTTTGCCTGTTACTGAATCTGTGACAGAGTACTGATTTGGAAAAAAATCTGTTATATTTCTGATAAGTGAAAATTATCCATGAAGCATTAATTCTTAATATTTAATGATACATTAGTATGGTTTATGAAGAATAATTGCTTTCTATGATTTTATATAAAAAATTTCTTGATGTAAAACAATGGACAGCACTAGACTACCCAAGGAAGTGTGCTATGCAGGCTAGCTAAGAAATAGAATTTAAAATGTTGGGCCAGGGCTGGGCTAGGTGGCTCATGCCTATAATCCCAGCACTTTGGGAGGCTGAGGCGGTCACATCATGAAGGCAGGAGAGTGAGATCATCCTGGCCAACACAGTGAAACCCTGTCACAACTAAAAATGCAAAAAATGATACAGGTGTGGTGGCGGGTGCAATTCCTGTTGCCCAAGCTGAAGTACAAGGGTGCAATCATGCCTCACTGCCACCTCAGCCTCCTAAGGCTGAAGCGGGAAAATCACTTGAACCTGGGAGTCGAAGGTGCTGGTGAGCCAAGATTGCTCCATTGTACTCCAGCCTGGGCAACAGACCGAGACTCCATCTAAAAAAAAAAAAAAAAAAAAAGTGTTGGGCCAGGCTCGGTGATTCACACCTGTAATCCCAGCATTTTGGGAGGCCAAAGCAGGTAGATCACTTGAGCTGAGGAGTTCGAGACTAGCCTGGGCAACATGGCAAAACCCCATCTCTACAAAAAAAAATACAGAAATTAGCCAGTCATGGTGGTACTCACCTGCACTCCCAACTACTCAAGAGGCTTAAGATGGCTTGAGCCTGGGAGGCAAAGGTTGCAGTGAGCTGAGATTATGCCACCACATTCTACCTGGGCAATAGAGACAGACTTTGTCTCAAAATAAAAATCAAAAAGTAGCCGGGCACAGTGGCTCAAGCCTGTAATCCCAGCACTTTGGGAGGCCGAGGCGGGTG